GGAAAGCTAAGAAACCGAAATATTGAAAAGTCAAGAAATAGAGAAATAAGAAAGTCAAAAAATCGACAAATCGAGAAATTGAGAATGGAAAAATCGGAAAATTAGAAACGACAAAAAATAAAAAATCGTAAACTGAAATTTCAGAAAATTAAGAAATCGTTAAACAAAAAAAATCAAGAAATCGAAAATTTGAAAAATCGGAAAATCCAGGAATCGAAGAATCGAAAAATTAAAAAATCCTAAAACTGAAACAGCGAAAAATTGAGAAATCGAAAGGTGAAAAATCGGGAAATCGAAAAATCGTCATCGAAAATTTGAAAAATTGAGAAATCGAAAACTTATTATACAATTTTTTTTTTACAAAGATCGAGAAGTCGAAAAATCTAAAAACCGAAAGATCGAGAAATCGAAATATCAAAAAACCGAAAAATTGAAAAATCTAATATTTAAAAGTCGAAAAAGTAAAACATCGAAAAGTTGAAAGACTGAAAACTGAAAAATCAATAAATCCAAAAACTGAAAAATCGAAGGAAAATTAAGAATCGCAGAATGAAAAATCCCACAATTGAAACAGAAAAATTAAGAAATCGGAAAGTCGAAAAATAGAAACTTGAAAAAGCAAAAATTGAAGAATTGAAAAACCGAAAAATCGAGAAGTTGAGAAACCAAAAACCTAAGAAACCGAAATACTGAAAAGTCGAGAAATCGAGAAATGGGAAAGTAAAAAAATCAAAAAATCCATTAATCGAGAAATTGAGAATCCAAAAATCGAAAATTTAGATACGACAAAAATTGAAAAATTGTAAAACTGAATCGAACAAAAAAAATCGAGAAATCGAAAATTTGAAAAATCGGAAAATGGAGGAATGCAAAAATCAAAAAATCCCAAAGCTGGAAGAGCGAAAAATTGAGAAAACGAAAGATGAAAAATCGGGAAATCGAAAAGTCGTCATCGAAAATTATATAATTTTTATTTTTTTTTTTTTTTATAAAAATCGAGAAGTCGAAAAATCGACAGATCGAAAAATCGGAACATCAAAAAACCGAAAAATTGAAAAATCGAAAAGATTAAAAACTGAAAAATCAATAAATCGCCGCACCCACTACAAGCATCTTCAAAAAGGGAATCAACTCTGTTACCTTCAATAGTTAACTTTAAAATTTAGTTTAATTTGTATAGAGTACCCATAGGATTTTTTTTTCCTCTACTCTGTAATTTCTCTGTTAAATAAATAAATAAATTAATTAATTAAAAAAAAAACTGAAAAATCAATAATGTGATAAACTGAAAACTCAAGTGTCGCAAAATTGAAAAATCCAAAAATTGAAACAGAAAAATTTAGAAATTGAAAAGTAGAAAAGTGGAAAATTAAAAAAATTAAAAAATCAAAAATCTAAAACCTCAAATATTGAAAATTGATGAATTGAAAAACTGAAAAAACGAAAAATCATGAAGAGCTGAGCAACCGAAATATTAAAAAATGTCGAAAATTCGGGAAATGGAAAAATAAAAAATCGAAAAGCCGAAAAATTCAGAAATTGAAAAGTCCAAAGTCAAAAAATTGATTTATCTAGAAACTGAAAATCGAAAAAGCGAAAATTTAGAAACGGCAAAAATTAAAAAATCATAAAACTGAAATATCGGAAAATTAAGAAAACGATTACAAAAATCGGGAAGTCGAAAAATCGGAAGATCGAGAAATCGAATCAAAATACCGAAAAAATGAAAATTGAAAAAATCTAAAATTTAAAAGCTAAAAAAGTAAAAAATCGAAAAATCGTAAAGCTCAAAAACCGAAAAATCGATAAACGGAGAAGTTGAAAAGTCGAAGAAAAATTAAGAAACGCAAAATTGAAAAATCAAAAAATTGAAACAGAAAAATTGAGAAATTGAAAAACTGAGAAATCCAAAAATCGAGAAGTTGAGGAACCGAAATATTGAAAAGTCGAGAAATCAAGAAACGGGAAAATAAAAAAATGAAAAGTCGAAAAATCCAAAAATTGAAAAGTGAAATAATCAAAAAATAGATTAATCCAGAAATTGAGAATCGAGAAATCGTAAATTTAGAAATGGCAAAAATTTAAAAATCGTAAAATGAAATAGCAGAAAAATCATCAAACAAAAAAAAATTGAGAATTCGAAAAGTTGAAAAATCGGAAAATCGAGAAATTAAAAAATATCAAAACTGAAACAGCGAAAAATTGAGAAACCGAAAGATGAAAAATCGGCAAATCGAAAAGCCGTCATCCAAAATTCGAAAAATTGAGAAATCGAAAAATTGATATTCAATTTTCAGGACTATGTTACTTTTTGCCATTTAAGTAATGTTTATTTGACAAAATTGTAAAATAACATCAACAATTCCTGAGGGGAGGGCATGAACGGATAAATTTTAATTAACTATTTACCACGCTTCCGATAATTTAAGACGTTTGCATAATTTCAAAGGTAAATTGTAAAATATTGTTATACAATTTAGTTTTTTTTACAAAAATCTGGTTGCCGAGTACGTTATTTTATAAAATTTAAACAACACTTACGTAGTATTGTCAACTTTGCCGTCCTTCCCTTATTGGCGGGGATGATCAGACAAATTTTGGTTACCGTTTTACCATGTAGGTACATGACTTTTATAATATACATACAAAATTTGACAACAATCGATCGAGTAGTTTCGGAGATTATTATTTTAACACAAGTTTGAGACGACGCCATCTATCAATTTTTGGAAGAAAATGTGCAATGTTGTTTCTCAATTAAATTGTAGCGCCAAAAAAATATCTAAACCAAAGGAATTGGCATTTACAGAATTCGTTCGTCTTAGTTCTGACTAAATCTATTCCTGAATTATATGTTTCCGGAGCTTTACATAAAACACCTGGACATATTTCACGTCACATTATTGTTCAATTAAAGTGATTTTTTCAATCACGTTCCATTTTTGATATTCTTGTTAAAGTTAAAATGGTCAGTTATCAATGACATTTGACCTGTGTTAGTGTTACAGAGTCCAAGACAATTCGTACCTAGCTTGACATTCCACACATCTTGATGCGATTTTAGTACTACATATTTTTTACTCTTAATAAATCTTTCCCCTTTCAATTTTTATTTTATTTATTAAGAGTATGAAGCACCATAAAAAAATTTGATTGATCAAGCTGCAATGAAATTTTAAACCGGTTACCTGGCGTATTTTTTAGTAACAATTCTGCACTTAAACAAGACTTTAAAATCAGTTCTCCAAACCCGTCACATTATTCACGTTTTCCGCGCACTCTGTACAAATAAAAATACAAAACCTTGTACATCCTTGTTATCACGTCTACGAGAAATGCGAATGAATCACTCGGTGGTCCTTATCAGAAAACATCGCTGCGATTTATATTTGCAGCTGACCATGTTGTGTCTACATTTAGTTTTTTCATGCAAATATCTATACCAATAATTGATAAAAATAATACATAATAAGTAACACACACACATCCTATTTGTAAACTGAAAACTAAAAATGTAAAACAAAATAATAATGTACCTACATACATAGATAAGAAAGTTATAAATTTAAAAAAATGCAGGTTTTTATCTTTCCGGGACTCTTAGTATATCCGTTCTATTTAGAATGTCCTGCAAGTAAATATATTGTAAATAAATTCCTTTCATTTTCAAAAAGGGAAAGCTTGTTAATGTTATTCATTTTCTGATTCACTTACATCAATAAAAGTCAAGTAATAATAACTATATCAATTCTTAAATTCCAAAGTGTTGACTCAAAGGTTACTCGGATACCCTAAATCGCCGGATCAGCTCGTATAAAACGGCCAAACCAGTTTGAGTCGAACAGGGGCGGAGTGGCACATTTTTGTAAGGGAGGTGTTACTTTTTACTCTTTAGTCTGAAGAGGACAATCGAAACATAATAACACTTTTTTGAGTCAATAAATGCGTAATTTCTCAAAGATAATCAGAAACATGCCTACAAATTTTTGTCACCACGGGTTAAATTTAATCAGGCCGATTTCAGTTCGTTAAACTTTTGCAATAAACATTTATCAGTATAATAGTGACAGTTCTAATCATGAAACTTCTTGTTGTTATTTTTACTATTTTACGTTTCGTTAATTTATTTTGCTTGTTTTAAATATAATGTAAGACAAATTTTCTCTTAAGCTATTTTGAAGAATAAATACTGCGTCCGTGACGCAGAATAATTTTAACTACTTGTTCATCCAAGTTGTCTGTGTATTCTGCGCTTCATCCTGATAATGGACTTGATTAGCCCTAAATCCCGTAAATATGTAAATTTATGCAGTGTGACTAACGCAAAATATTTACAGTCCCGAATCCCTTATTCGAAAAGGATGGCAAATTCTTATTTATGAAGTAAAATTTATGAACCCAAATTAACAGGGTTGGGGCAAAATTCAAACTGATAACGTCAGAATTGTTAATTGGAGTTTGATAAACTGTTTCTATAAATTTATGTATTAATTGGATTTTTTTGTTTTTGAATAAGTCGAATATAATAGTTTAGTATTTAACGATAAACTAAAATAAAAAAGTACGTTTCTACAATTGAGTCCAAGGTAGAACCGTAACGTATTAAATACAACAAACACAAGCAACAACTTGTTTAAAAATAAACAATTAAACTACATTCACCGATCAAAACATAAATGCATGCATACCGCAAACGTACTTAGATAATGGCACGACTATAATAAGCAATTAAAAATGACATTGACACAGTAGTCTTGAACATGACACATAACAATGATACCCCTTTTGCATATTTTGCCCGATATTCGCCGCCTTATCATAACCGCAATACATAAATAACTCCCCAAATCCTCCATCCTTCAAAATCCTGACACTTGCCTCGACTCCGCCAAACCCATCACATTATTCGCATTCCCCTCATATTCTATGCAAATAAAAAGGCGAAACCTTGAAAATCCTGCCATGACAAGCGCGAATCCGAGTCACCCCGCAACCCTTACCGGAGAAGAAGTGCAGTCTTCATCGCTGTGATCAATCTGCAATTGACTCTGCTGTGTTCTCCTCATTGTCGTTTTTTCCGCACGCACTCATCACACACACTCCACGCGACTAAAACACACACCATTTTGGAAACAGCTGTTCAATAACGTGCCCCATGACGCCTGCCGTCGCGACGCCGTCGCCCGCCATTTTGCGCACGGTTTTAGAACGTCGAATGGAACGTGTGGTCGGCGGATCGGAGCGGTAATGTGTTGGCGCACGACGAAGTTGCGATGGGTACTGTCAGGATTAGGTGTAGTACCTGGCGATTGTGACAGAGGCCCCCATTTTTTCCCTGAATGGGCGATTGTATTCCGGGATGTTTGCGTACGAGGGTTATCGGGCTTTTCTGGGAAAAAATGGGGATCAGGGACGGGTGTTTGTTGAGCGGAGTTTGGACGGAAAAAGATGTTTTTTTATAGGATAGCTAGAGCTAGTTTTAGCTGGACGAAGTTAAATAAAGTTGATCTTGTGTCAACCAGAGAGAATCACATCCCAATAATATAGACATTTGATTTTTTTTTTTAATTTCAAGGTTTTCACGATATATTGCATATTACATAATTTGTAAACGAATGATCCTTGGAAACAATTTTCTACACTCTTCTAGTTCTATCGACCGCGCCTTTTGGGAAAGCACCAAACAAGAACGTGGTTGTTAATGGGTTGATTTTAGCCAGTGATGGCCAGAAGATGTCCAAGAGCAAAAAAAATTCCCGTGTCCTTTGGACGTAGTTTCTAAGTATGGCGCTGATGCGTTGCGATTGTATTTAATTAATTCTCCAGCGGTTTGTGGGAAAAATTTAAAATTCAAAGAAGAAGGAGTTCGTGGTGTTCTTAAAGATGTGGTGTTACCGTGGTACAGCGCTTTGCGTTTTCTTTTATTGAATATTGAGGGTTTTGTGGAAGAACACAAGCGGCCATTTTGTTACACTGAAGGAGAAGTTGTTACCAATTTAATGGATCGATGGGTTATTTCTTTAACACAGTCGCTCGTGGAGTATTTTCATAATGAGATGAGTCATTACCGGCTTAATGTGGTTTCTAGCGTAACCAGATTCTTTGATAATTTCACTAACTGGTACGTGAGGTTAAATAGAAAACGGTTCAGAAATAACACGGATCTGGGAGACCAAAAAGCAGCTTTGTGGACTCTTTTTGACGTATTTTTAACTATGGTTGTGATGATGGCACCGCTGGTACCATTCGTGTCGGAAACCATTTACCAACACTTGAGGACGTTTCTGGCACAATCCGTTGACAGTGTTCACTATGTAACACAACCACAATCAAATACAACCTTGATAGATATAGACACAGAACGTGCTGTATCTAGAATGAGAAGCATCATAGAATTGGGACGAGTGATTCGTGATCGGAAAAACCTTGCTCTTAAATATCCATTATCTGAGGTGGTAATCATCCACCAAGACCCTCAATATCTTGGTGATCTTCACCTACTGGAGGAATATATTCGTACTGAGCTAAACGTGCGCATTGTCACTCTGATCAGTGGCAGGAAGAAATATGGACTCACTTTACAAGTAGAACCCGACTTTAAAATTTTGGGACTGCGGTTTAAAGACGAACTTAGAACTTTGGTGACTGGAATTAGAGCTTTAACACGTGTTGAAATCGACGAGATGATTAAAGTTGGCTATATTGTGGTAAAAGGACAACGTATTGAAATTTCTGAAGTTAAATTACTCTGGAAGTTGGAGACCAATTCGGGTCACTATGAAGTTAATAGTGACAACGACGTAGTTATTGTGATGAATGTTGCCCCAGATTCGGTGATGTAAGATGAAGGAACTGCTAGGGAGGTGGTAAATCGTATTTTGAAATTGCGTAAAAGGGTAAATTTAGTCCCTACTGATCAAATATCAGTGTTTTATGCAGCTTCTGGTGATATTAACAGAGTAGTAAAGTCCTATAGTAAATTCCTTGAAACTAGTGTAAGGGCACCTTTCAGATCACTAAATGAGAAAGAACGTTTTGATAACGTTATAACTGAAGATACACAATTATGAAAACATTGTAAGCTTCATTTAGTTTTAACTCACTTTCGAGATATAGTGTTTCCTGTGACGAAATGGGCTAATGTTGAATTGGTTAATCTTCAAGCTAGATATTGTTCTAGAAATAGTTCAAGAGGTTTAGTTCTGTTAGAACTTGCCAAAATTCCCACTACAGTGAAAAATCTGTATTCCGAAGTGTTTCGTTTATTTGGAGTGGACAACTTCAGGTTGGTTAACAGCGATGGGAAAGAGATTGGTGACAGCGAATTACTGAGTTTGTCAGGACGCACAATTTTTGTCGTACCTTGTAACAAGAACGTAGTTTTGCCCAAAGAAACGGTCGCACCTTTTTGTGAAGTTCGTAATTTCGTTGAAAGAAACACTGAAGGTACTATCATTTTGGAAAATCCGGAAGGTAACAGAACGTTTTTCAGTGAGTTGGATTATAAGAGTATTGTTTATGAGTGGACCAAGATGCCAAAAACCAGTCAAATTTAATAATAATTTATATATAATTTACTATTTTTAAAAACCCATGATGTGTAACAATTTATATTTAAATAAAAAATGCATCTAACTACATTTTAAAATATTTTTCTATTGGTTCCCCTAAAATCTTCTCCATTTCTTGCACAGCCTTCCTGCACGCCTTCTCCACATTTTCCTCCTCATCCTCTAGCAGCTCCGCCAAAACCGAAATAGTCTCCGGCAACAAACGCAAATAATCCACGCCCAACTTCTTCACCATCTCCTTCAAACAATGCAACGAAATCAACCTAATACTCGGCGAATTGTGCTTCATTTTGAGCAAAATCTGATAATTCAGCTGCTGCACAATCGCTAGCGTAACCACCTTCTCGTTCCTCCTTTCAAGACATTCAACCCCGCCCAAACTATTCTTCAACTGATCAACCAAAGGTTGCATCAAAACCTGAAACCTATCCTTATTCACGAACTTGTGGTTGTCGTACAAAAACACCGCATGAAGAGTCTTCAAGACGTTCTCCAACAACAAAACGTTCTTGTTTTCTTCACCGAAATACGACGTTTCGTTTTTGACGGTGTTACAAGCGTCCAAAATCCGAGCGGCGTTGTTCAGGAAATGACCGACGAAAAGGACGAAGAGGTTCTTCAAAGACTCGGCAATGCTGCTGGATAAAGCGTAAAACGTAATCAGTCTTTCAGTCTTCTGGTCGTGTCTAGCAACCCAGTCAAAGAGTTTGTAGTATAGAGGCTTGAATGTGCTTTCCGACAACTTGAGCACCAGTTTGCTCAGCGCTGTGATTATTTGGGCTTCGACTTCGTTGGCTTGCTCGAAGGAAGTGTCATGGTCGGTCCGGAATTGTAAAGCGTTTAGAAAAAAGGTGGTGAGTTCGGGTGGGTTTACGTTGATTTCGGAACCACTGAGGTGGTTCAGATTTTCTCCTAGTGCTTCCATGAGGAAGGTGATGGCGGTGAAGGAGTTCTTGGTGATGAGGTGGTTGTAGCTTTGGCTCAGCGCTGGTATTAGAACTCTTGGGGGTATAGAAGTACCGATTTGTTAGCGCAAAGTGGACAGTTTATTCACCACTGGTTGTGTTTTTTCTTCATCACCCCATTTGGTAGCTAGCACGGCTAGTTCGTAAAGCAACTTCTCTAAATACGCACTGAAGAAAAGCGGCAACGTTTCTAATACCTTCTGGACTGCCGTAACTGAACTTAAAAGCAGAAGACTGGACTCTTTATTTTTCTGCTGCTTTAGAATCTTCAACAACGCCGGCATGAAGTTCGGAAGACTTGGAATGGCATGTGCACACAAGTTTGCACAAAGTTCAGCTATGCACAACAAAACTGAAGCTAAAACGTTATTTTGGACTTTGCCTCTTTTGATCAAGTCGGTCAGATAGTCCAGAATTTCGGTCAGTTTTTCGGTATGTTCTGTCACCAATAACTTCACCAGAAATTTGAGTGAGAGAAGAGCAGTTTGAACATTCAACTCTTCTTCGTTGTCCATTGGTATTTCTTCGACGTTTCTGATGATGGAGAGCAAGGGTGGTACCAACACATAGATTTCTTCAGAAGCGCACTCACTGAAGAAAGTTGGAGGGTGTTGAACTTTGGAATTCAAGAGCTCCATGCTGCGTCTTCGTACCGTGGCGAAATTATGAACCATCAAGCCTTTAACGACTAAGACGAACATCTGCGGTGTTAAAATCGCGTTCATACTATCAAGAATATCGTAGCTGAGGTGAAGAATAACCTTCCAGTAATTTGCATGCGTAATAGTTGCGTTTTTTTCAGCGATTTTTGACACTCTATGGATATAAGTTAGTACGTTTATGATTGTATCTTTGTATAGAGGCTCCAGGTCTAGCAACTCCTCGTTAGTTAGAGCCGCAACTTGTAGAACAAACTCCTTAGAAGCCAACAACTTTGACGTAAACACAATCAAAGTATATTTGAAGTGGCGGAACTGTTTGAGGGTTTTGTACAAAATACCGAACCCAGAAGTGGTGTTATCTGTTTCTACTTCGTCAGGCAACTCCTTCAAATTTTTCAACAAATGGATGTAATTCTGGATGACCACTTTTGGAGAAAACTCACGACAAACACTAGCGGCTATTTCTAGTCGTTTCATGTGGTCGTCTTTATTCTTCTGTCTGGTGTGATTGACGTGAGACTCAAAAATCAGAAGCAGAAAGACATACAGATGTTCACTGACTCCGATTTTCGTCAATTTGTTCGTATATCGACATCCTTCGGTGCTCCGGTACATCTAATAGAACATCCACGAAGACTCGTAGTACCCTAGATATAGTTTCCACTAGAGACCCTAGATATACTTTGGAAAAAAAAACAAAAGTACATTCTTAAAATAAATGCATTTTATGAAACAAAAATGAATAATAATTTACAAAAATGAATAATAATTTCAATTTTTAAATTACGTACAAAATTTTTATACTCAACTATTTTGACGAAACTGTAAAACTGCTATATTTTAAATAGCGATTCTGGAAAAACTGGAAAGAAAGTGATCTGCCAAAATCAGTCTTATCTTAGCAAGTACTAGCCCCGCCCACTCACCCTGTATTTTCTTACAAGGTATATAATTTGCCAAAATCAGTTTTACCTTATCAAATATTAGGCCCGCCCACCCGCCCTATATTTTCTTGGAAAGAAAGTTATCTGCCAAAATCAGTCTTATCTTAGCAAGTACTAGCTCCACCCACCCCCCTCTTCTAATTCTAACGACTAAATTTATTTCCGTTCAATATAAGATCATTCATTTCATTCAGATCGGATAAAATCAATCACTAAAAAGGAGACAGGGCGGGTGGGCGGGGCTAGTACTTGCTACGATAAGACTGGTTTTGGCAAATAACATACCTTCCAGAAAATAGAGGGTGGGTGGGTGGGGCTAGTATTTGCTAAGATAAAACTAATTTTGGCAAATGAGATACCTTCCAAGAAAACAGAGGGTGGGCGGGCGGGCTTAGTACTTGCTACGATAAGTCTGATTTTGGCAAACGGCATACTAATATAAAAACCAAAAGTGATTTTTTATTTACGTACAAAATTTTTATACTGAACTATTTTCACAAAACTGTAAAAACTGCTATATTTCAGTCAACAATTTTGGAAAAACGGTAGGAATTTTCAAAGAAAGGAAACAGAAAATGACTTCTGGATATCGAAATCTACAAGAAAGTGAGAAAATTGACAAAATCAGTCCTATCTGATTAAATACTAGCCCCTCCTACCCACCCTCTATTTTCTAAGAGGGTATCTCATTTGCCAAAATCAGTCTTATCCACGGCTGTAGAATATAAGGTTGGTACACTAAGGGAAATTTGGTGGAATAGAATATGGTGGTCCTAGGCGGCTTTGGCGCGCTTTAGATCGTTTCGCCATCTGTGATTTACGATTACACACTAACATCTTTATGAATGAAATTTTCCACTACTGCAATGGCAAATTGACAACTGACAGGCTGCCAAAACTGTCATTCTACTTCTAGTTGATGTATTATGATAGAAATTACTGTTTAAATTGGTTTAACGAGATCGCCAACTCAGAGAGGAACGTACATTTATACATAACAAACCTCGGCAACCGCAGGTTTGTTCGATATTTCTAGCACTATTGTTTCATGTAAACAATCATTAAACAAGCATGTGCGATGACCAGATAAACACAGATTCCTTCGAAAAACAAGTTGACAATGTACTGGTTAAGAACTTTTCGGTAATTGATTACATTAGCCACCGCGATTTTGCCGAATCCGCCCCCACAAAAACCTCATACAACACCCCTGATCACGTTCCTACCTAACCTTCAAATGTTGTACAAACATTTCTCATAACATTTGAAGAGTAGGAACGCGATCAGGGCAGGGGCGTTGTATGAGGGTTCTGCAAAAAGGGTTTCAGAGAAGTCGCATAGTAGCTAGTGTAAACAATGGTCAAAGACGCTTCCAAAAGATTGAACGTTTAACATAATAAAAATTCGGCCCTATTCTAAATGCCGTTGCTTTAAAATTAAAGAAATCGTTAATTTTATGTGTCCTTAACAAAATTAAAGATTGGTTTGATTATGATTGATTCTAAAATACATGTTCTTTAAGCTATGCGTTAAATTTGTTAACTTTAACTGATGTCGTTAAAAGTGATTGTGAACAAACGCATGACAAACGCCCTGTGCTTTAATTGCACCATGGCCGACTCAAATCTTTAAAGAGAGTCGGCTACGATCGCACACGTTGCTATGAATTTTAGGTCAAACAGTTAGTTTGTCACTTGGTTGTTTGCTGTCACGAGTAAGTTTTTTAATAGAAAAATTAAAAATTTCTTTTACAAATAGACCTATTTCAGTGGCCTTGGTTAATAACGAAAAGGGTAAACGTGGTCAGAGAACTACAAAACAGCAGTTTGAATTTTTGATAAATTTCTTGGAAAAAAATCCAGAGGCTGTTTATCAAGATAGGTCCCACCCTTTAAGAGAAAGTTCACATATCGCAAAATGGAATACGCTCGTAAAGGAACTCAACAGCTCCGGAATGGGACCAGCAAAGTCGTTGGTTCAATGGAAAAAAGTTTTCACCGAGCTAAAAAATAACACCAAAAAGAAAGATCGCTTAATAAAAGAAGAAATTAGAGCCACTGGTGGTGGCGAGAAAAAATATAAATGTTTATTAGATTACGAACAGCGTTTACTCGTATTATTAAAAAAAGTGGCAGTTGAGGGGGCAGATATTCCCGAACCTGGCATCTCGACTTCGCCGTCAAATTTGTCTCAATGCGACAGTTTAGATTTACCACATGAGATAGAGGAAGCGGAATTAATACTTGTTGACGATGATACTGAGGATCCAGGAATGACGAAGACGGAACTTATAAATGTACATGGAACAAAACCGAAAACAACAATTATAAAAAAAAATATCCGAAAAAGTAGTCACAGGATGACTACTTTACAAAAATCCATAAGTCAATATAATGGAGTGGTTATTAAAATGGTGGAATCAAACACCGAACTCGTCAAGGCTATTGGGACACTCTCCAAAAGTGTCCAAGAATTGACTAAAGTACTAAATAATAAGTTTAATAATTGTTAAATTAAGAACTTTTAAACATTTGTTGAAATAAGTTGAAATAAATTATATATTGCCAAAATAATTTCTAACAACTTGTGTTCGAACCATTCTGCCCTCAGCTAACACATTTATGCCTCGAATAGGATGTTCGATTAAAGGCGCATTATCATTATCGATTTCGTCTTCATCGTAGTCATTTTCTTCTTCCTGTTGTAAATTAAATCTCACGGCAAAATTGTGAAGAATCATACATGAATAGATGATTTTTCCTGCACGAATTGGATGATAATGCATACATCTGGCTTTAGTTAAACATCTAAATCTCATTTTCAAAATTCCAATACAACGTTCCACTGTATTTCTTATCCGGGCATGATGGCGTGTGTACCGATATTCTGCGGTACCTGGTACAGCACCTTCGATGGGTGTTAATAACCAGGGTTCAATAGGATATCCTGAATCACCTAAAAGCCACATATTTCGTACACCTTGTTGATATTTACTAGACACATATCTTCTAATAACAGATGAGCCCCATATTGCCGAATCATGTGTTGCACCAGGGAATCTTGCATTTGCTGATAATATTTTCATGTCAGAATCACAAATAACTTGTGTATTGATACTGTAAAATCCTTTCCTATTGTAATACACAACGGGAGGATGTTCTTCATCTTGACTTGAGGGGGCATTAATAGCAATATGCGTTCCATCTATGGTGCCAATAATACCACCCATATTAAATTTTTCAAAGAAACTAACTTTTATCCGCTCAAATTCTTCATTATTTTGTGGAAATCTAATGTGTTCATGTAATAAGTGGTTAACAAATACATCAGTAACTTCTGCAATTGACCTACTTATCATTGGTTGACTCATACCAAAAGTAAAATCTTGACCAATCACTCTTTGATATGAACCACTAGCAAAAAAACTTATCGTTGTTAATATTTTTAGTTCATTGGGTACAGCTGACGTATATCTGCGATTTTGCATAAAAGGTATAACTTCATTTATTATCTGTATCATCATGTCTTTGGTAAATCTAAATAGTTGTTTAAAATGGTAATCCGGAGTATCGAAAGGATTATAGCTATCTCGAATACTACGTCTATGTACATTCAATCTGCATCTGCAAAATAAATTTGATTTTTTATTTTGAATATTAGTCAATTTAGTTCAAGAATTTTTGTTTACCTTCGTTCTAATTCCTCTAGTTCTTCCACAAATAATACATTTAAAAGCTGTAGTCCATTCATTTTGACTTTTCAAAATGTCAAACATTAAAGCAATACCTTTTAACGATATTAAAGCGACTGTTTTTGGCGGCCTTAATATTAAAGTATTCTCCTTCAAAATTGAAGATTTGTTCGTTAGTTTTAAAGCATTTTGTATAAAATGGAATACGGTTTATTGAGTTTGTCGTTAACTATGCTGTTAACGACATCGCTAATTTTAACGATATGAATTAGAATAGAGCCGATTATTATTAAATGCTTTGATTAAATGTCAAAGTTGTCATTTATGTCGGTATAATCGTGTCCTTTTGATGTGGCAAAAATTAATGCCGCTAAGTACCGTAAGAGGGACCCATTTGACAACGCGCGTCATGGCCAACTAGTACGGAAAGAAATTATTCCACCTACCGGAACGGGAATGAATGAAAGATACTCAACCCATCTATTCTACAGCCGTGGTCTTATCTTAGCAAATACTAACGCCGCCCACCTGCCCTCTAGTTTCTTGGAAAGAAAGTCATTTGCCAAAATTAGTCTTATCTCTATCTCAGATTCTATTATTTAGTATATATAGTTTCCACTCCCACTAGACAGAAGAATACAATTAGCCCCGCCCATCCACCCTGTCTCCTTTTCAGTGATTGAGTTTATCCAATCAGAATGAAATGAGTGATCTTACAATGAAAAGAACTAAAATTAGTAGCATGGTAGAAGGAGACATGGTATAGGCATACGCATCGGGTGTGACGTCAAGTGGGGTGAAATTAGCGCGAAATTTAAAATACATTCTTTAAATTGAAGTTTTATATTTTTTTATCCTGTCACGTTGCAAATTCCCCCGTATCAATCCTAAATCTAGACAATTAAGTAAAAGAGATAAATTTCTAAAATTGCAAAACAAAAGTTATTGTTATATCAATATATTAAACAAAATATAGTTTCGTCAAAAATGAGATACGCAAAATAAATAAAAAAAGGATTAATACATTAATAAAAGTAGTTAGAGCCGCTGCCAGGGTAAAAAAATACTTGTCGAGATTCATCAAAGGACTTGTTCCATAGACGATTTAGCTGTATCTTTGTCTATGGTCCACTCCACCCCTACATTAAATAGTAAGTACGCCCTGGATTTACTTGCAGTTTACGTTAGCGCGTAACCCAGTGTAACCAAAATTTTATCTTTTTCTTTTAAAAATGACTTACTGTGCTGTTTTGGGTTGTGGGAATAGCAAAAAAAAGCAACCAGATCTTACTTTTTACAGATTTCCCAAAGAACCTATAATTTTAGAGGCTTGGGTGGAATTCTGTGGTCGAAGCCCAATAAATGTTAAGAATGGTAAGAATAAAAACAAATAAATAATTAATAAACATTGTTTTTCATTTTATTACTTTTTCACTAGCTCGAATGTGTTCAATACATTTTACAAAGAAATGTGAAACGAAACTAGGACTACAAAGAGTATTAAACTATAGCCCAAAAAACAGAAGAAAAATATTAAATACAGCAATACCTACATTACTGGGTCCTTTGGCTCCACATAAAACGGGACACTCGCCATTGGCTTTTACAAATGTATTGAGCCATAACAGTTTAAGTAAAAAAACTCCAGATAAAAGTGGTTCAAGTAACAATGGTAAATGTGTAATGACTTCAGTTCCATTGCCTCTGTTGCTTCCTGTAAAACATTGCAAAAAGAATTTGTTTAACGTTTCATTAAGTGCCTCAAGAAATATAAATGACAGTGATATTCAATCTTTAAAATATGATGCATCGACAAATAATGACAATAGTGGCAGTAAAATAGACTCCTCAAACGACCTTAAAGCTTGTCGTAAGTGTCAGTGCGTAAGATATAAAAGTCAAAAGCAAATCTGGGAAAAGAAATTCCTAACACTGTCAAGGAAATATGAAAAATTAAGTAACCAACTAAAACTTATAAAAGATGAAAACCTAGCACTCCAAGGTGCACTGAAGGCAAGAAATGAGGATCAAAAAATTGTAGAGACGTTAAAAACAATTTTTACCCCTGGTCAAATAAAAAAATTAGTGACACAAACAAAACGTATCCAGTGGTCAGCCGAAGACATTGCATCGGCAATTTCTTTAAGGAGCATTAGCCCGAAAGCTTATAAATACTTACGAGAGAAGTGTCAATATCCACTTCCTGATTTGAGCACTTTAAGAAGGTGGGCAAGTACGTTTAGTGTCGATCCTGGAGTTTTGAAAGACGTCTCATTATTAATGAAAAAGAAAGCCAAAATTTTGAATGAAACTTCAAGATTGACGGTACTTTCATTTGATGAGATGTACATAGACAAACAATATTGTTTTCATAAAGAAAAAGAGCAAGTTTTTGGACCCCACCGAGCAGTACAAGTAGTGATGGCACGCGGTTTATGTTCCCCCTGGAAGCAACCCATATATTATAATTTTGATACCCCTATGACAAGAACGCTGTTATTGCATATCATCAAAACTTTGTATGAGTGTGATTATACAGTTGTTGCAATTGTATGTGATATGGGGTCACAGAATTTAGGCTTGTGGAGGGAACTAAACATAAATATATCAAAATCATTTTTTCAACACCCAAATGATGAGAGCAAATTAGTATTTGCATTTGCCGACGTTCCCCACTTACTGAAACTGCTTCGAAACCACTTTATTGACAGCGGCTTCTGCTTAAATAACAAAAATTATGGCAAAAAATACATTGAAGATGCTATTGAACTCGGAACAAACAACAACTTGCGAATTGGCCATAAAGTTACCCAGGACTTGTTGGATGTTAAAAGGTCACAACGTCAAAAAGTTAAAAGTGCTGCTAAATTATTTTCATATACGACAGCCAAACTACTTGACTACTGTGGTGAAAACAAATTAATCCAGTGCAGCAATTTTAAAACACTTTCTGATTTTATTGAGTTGGTGAACAATTGGTTTGACTTGCTGAATACATCTTCAAAATATTCAGCAAAAGGAGTAAGTGCCTTTGGAGTTAACTTGAATGATCAGATGAAGATAATCCAGAAAATGACTGAAGTAATGACAGCAATGAGAGTAGTAAGACACCGTGCTCTATTACCATTCCAAAAAGGAATCATCATTACCAATAAATCATTGGAAGGTCTATATCACTACCTTGTAACTACTTATAACCTGGAATATATCATGACTAGGCGTTTGAACCAAGATGTTTTAGAAAATTTTTTTTCTAATATGCGAAGTATGGGTGCTGTAAATACCAACCCTGATGCCATTAGCTTTATGTATCGTTTGAGGTGGTATATTTTAGGAAAAAATTCTTCAGGCGCTCTCGCTCAATCTAAAAACTGTGAGGAAGATGAAGATGATAAATTAACCAACCCCTTACAAGACCATGAAGAACAACAGGAAGTTTGTCTTACTGCTCCATTGTTTGCTTCAATTGTAGATACATCTTCAAGTTTTGATATTGATACAGAGCTCAATTGTGAGTGGATTGAAATTCATTTTGTTGATGATCCATCCCTGTGTGAAGGTGGTGATTCCAGCATAATTACACCAGAAATAATCATCAATCATGAAGGACTACGGTATTTAACTGGATATGTAGCACATCGGTTCAGGACGAAATATCCACATCTCGGTAATTCTAGCCCAGACAATGACGCTCCTTCCACCTCAACTTCTAACCTAGATTGGATTAACTTTATTTCAAAAGGAAATTTGCTTCATCCTACCAAAGAATTTCTGCAAGTTGCGGAAGTGATGGAAGCAACTTTTGTAAATTTCCACGGGGCAGACATTCAAAAAGTGCCTAAAATCATAACAACCGTCGTAAACGAAGTAAAAAATAATATTAACACTAGCAAGTTTCCAGATGAAGTGATTCGCTGTTTGGTGAGAACGCGAACGTATATCCGCATTAGGGAATTGAACAAATCAATAATCGCGGACAAATCAGAGGTTAAGTGTACAAAAAAAATAAAACAAATTGTGGGAAAACATTAGAACTGGATACTTTGATTTCTAAATTTTAATGTAGTTCTTCTTGTATAACTTCATTAAAGACTAAAGTGCGTGAGTGGGTAAAAACTTACCTTACTGTTGACTAATTTGTATTCCCCGTAAATAACAGCGAATCGCAAAAATTAAGCAGTTACCGCAGGGTGTGTTCCACATTTTTGGACCGTTCAACTTTCAATAATTACATTTTTATCACTATTAATTTCATTATCTTTCGTAAGCCGGCACACTTGGCCGGCAGCTAATTGACGTATTTGACAGAGCTATGACAGCTCAAGCTAAAAGTCCCTAGCCTTCCCTAGCGAAGCTCACAAGGTCGTTGATGCCAACCCACGTCACAAATAGATGCGCAGACGATTTCTAAATTGGTACACCGGATGCCTATACCATGTCTTCTTGTACCATGATTAGTAGTTAGAATGATAAAAGGGTGGCAAGTACTTGCTAAGACACGACTGATTTTGGCCAATGATATACTCTTCAAGAAAATAGAGGGTGGGTGGGCGGGGCTAGTATTTGATGAGATAAGGCTGATTTTGGCAAATGACATACCTTCCAAGAAAATAGAGGGTGGGTGGGCGGGGCTAGTATTTGATGAGATAAGGCTGATTTTGGCACTTTTGACATGTTCGACCATTTTTCAATTATATTTATCTGAAAAGTAGTTGAAGACATTTTCTTGTAGATTTCGATATCCAGAAGTCATTTTCGGCTTCGTTTCTGCGAAAATTCCTACTGTTTTTCCAAAATCGCTAATTGAAATACAGTAGTTTTTACAGTTTCGTCAAAATAGCTCGCTATAAAATTTTGTAGATAAATAAGAAAATTATTATTAATTTTTTTTCACAAAATACAACTGTTTCAAAAATGAACTTTGAAGTTTTTATATATTCACAGAAATGTTTAAAATTTTTTATTTGGGGCAATAGAGAAGTCAGGACAGAGTGCATGAAATAAGAAATAAATTTCATAGTAAATAGCATAACATGTGATTAGCTCTTCTTTTTTTTTTACTTGGTTTACATCGTAGATTCTATTAATTTCCACTCCCACTCGACAGAAGAACATAATTTTTCCAAAGTATATCTAGGGTCTCTAGTTTCCACATCTCCATCTTTAACCAAAATCGGTATAATAGTGTCTATAATCCTCGATACAATCTGGAAACTGTACGCATTTTCATGGCGCAACAACGAAGACCCCATGAAGGTAAAAATCGCCATCATGTTGTGTAAAACTTGAGTCGGAAAGAGGTCAGCCGAAAACGCCAACACTAAAAGAGCACAATAATGAGTCTGCGGATTCTGCGACGCCCTAATACATTGTACTATCAACTCCATGTTGAACATAGTTTCAGGTAGATTCTTAGTTTCCATTCGGTTACCCAAATCGAGAATTGAGTTAGAATCAGCTGTTTGGGGTACTCAACGGCTGCCTATTCGTCAAAATCCAGACACTTCTTCAAAACTTCGAACAACACCGGCAACAACACATCAATATTCCTAATCTTCTTCTTGTTTCGAATGAACTCCAAAGCCGTCAAACCCTTCCGCCATTCAAGAGTGTCCAAAATATCTGTCGTCGGTACTACCGAAATGCGCCTCTTTAAGTTGTTAGGGTCGAGCTTCGGAGACTGAACATCTCTCAACGCGGTAAAATGAGGAAGAATCAATTTAGAATCTAGATCGATGATTTTGACGAGGTGCCTCACGCTTGGCAGAATTTCGGGGTTTTTGGTGACCGTAGGCACTTCCACAACCAAATCTAAGAGTTTAAGTTGAACTTCGTCTATCAACGAAGCGAAGAAGTCTTTGCTGATTTGCTCCAGTAATAAAATTCTTGCCCTTGATAGTCAAAGTCAAGCTATCTTTCTTGACACAAGAATCAATGAACCTCCAGATGCTACTGTTCAAACGAATCTCTGGAGCCAAACCTGGTTGGCAACGCATTATGTTTCTAAGAACCACAGTAGACTGGGTTTCGTCTAGTTTAGACACTCTTCTGCAACGTCTTGGAAGATTTCAACCGTGTTGATATGTGATAGGAGTTCTAGCATTTTGGCTTTCAGGTAGACATTGTAGTTCTTTTTGCAGCTGGCTTTGACTAGAAGGGTCTTCGCGATTTCGGTGTTGGCCACAACCTCCTCATTTTTGACGCTCGAAAGCGACAAATAATTGTACAAAATTAGGGGTAGTTGATAATTGTCGGTGATGATTTCTTCACGTTGGTTCAACAATTCGCGAAATAGGTGTTGGTAGCCGTGTTTTTCCAATTGTGTTAGGAGTTCCACGACTTTGAACATCTTGGTCTTGATGGCTTCAGATTCGTGAAGCAACGTTGCTAGCACAACCGGAAGCAGAATTTCGCCATCGGTTAGAAGAGAGCTTTTGCTATCTTTGGCGCTCGGTTCCAACAACCTCACTATCAAATCTACACTCTGAGGGAACCTCTGCGCTTGCGCATCTACCACAACTCACTAGATTCAAAGTAAACTCAAGTTTGCTCCTCAAACTCTTGCAAAAATAGTTGACGAAAAACAAACAATATTTCTTGTGGCTTGGAGAGCTTCTGAAGACAGCGTCAGCCAAAGAGATAAAGTACCTACTAAAAGCGTTATCTTCGTGAAAATCGACACGACCTAAATCAACGTCGGGTTTCTTCGTCTTCACTATCACATTCTTCAAACACAAAAGGAATGCTTCAAAATGGAAACGACCAGCACGGGCCACCGCTACGTGCTTATAAAACAAAGCCTTACCATTCTCATACCTAATTTCACACCCCTCCAAACACTTGACAAATATATCCACGATCTGCACATTCGTCTCAATCGAGCTATTATTCGGTAAAATACAACTCAAAATGAACGTGACCAAGTACTTATTCAAAACAGATCTCTCTTCCATTGGTGTTTGCTTCAAACTCTCCACAAAGCTATCAACCACCTCGATGCTATCATTCCTCAAGCTATCAAAAACGTTGTTACAGAACTTCTCACACTCCTCCAACTTCCCGTTGATCTTCCTCAACAGAGGATTCTTTCTAACGAACGAAACCTGCGTGATTCCTCGCGCCGCCTCCAGCTGCTCCTCACTCTGTGGCAACAAATACGGAAAAAGGGCAACGAAAGTCTCCCAGTCGTTTCGGTCGCTTTTCGCACACAACATTAAAACCACCTCGGTTGACACCGACCCCCAAGTTTTCAAGTCCTGTTGACACATGTAAATCAACTTGGTTAAAACACCCTTCAAAGCGTCGGCTTTCAGGACCGAAATGTTCTTGATTAGGGTCAACGTTTCGGCAACTACAGTGACGTCGTCGTCGTTCAGGCGGTCGATGAAGGAGCTTTTGATCATTTCTTTTTCGCGGTCTCTGACGAGTTGTAGTTGTTTTTGGTTAAGTAACAGGTCGTCGGGAGGTCGGGTTTGGGTGGTAGAGTTTGTCTAGAAGGGCGAATTTGTCGATGATTGTAATGATGTCGGTTACCCATTTCTTGATGTGGTCGGGGTATTGTATAGCGACGATCTCTGCATTTGGCAACTCATTGATTACATGGACGAATTTGGCTGCAAAGATAATAAGAAAGGGAGAAACTAAATTTTTAAGGAAACTTTTATTGCAAATTTTAATAAAATACAATATATATAAAGGGGGCAATAATTAGTACAAACGGGCTGATCGAAGCTTGGCTGGCTATTCCAGCTGCTGGAGCTCCTATAGCGGCAGTAGGTACAGCCAAAAGTTTACCACACAAAGCAGAATATTTTTCAGTTTCACATTTAAGATCACCAGGACAAGCACTACATGCATCACCTTTCATGTACACCGGAGTCCCAATTAGATTGCCTCCAGGCCCAGTCGTGCTTGCGTAGTTACATATAAGTGTGTAATAGAAAGCCTGGGTAGGTGTTTTGGGGTTCCAGACTCTAGAACATCCTACAAGATCAGCCTCCGCCCAAACCATTTGTGTGAAATGCCCAATCGGCTGAAATGAATAATTATTATTGTCTTCGCTGCACTTTTAAAAACTTACCAGTCCACCACCATAATTATCTATAGCATCATCACTGTTCACCTCTTTAAATTCATCGTACCTAACGAAATCATGAAGAAAATCACCACTAAAGTTTCAACTACAGTCATACAGTTACGTACCAGCTCATTAGCAAGGACCGGATATCTTCTCTATTTCTGCTACTTCCAGCTAAATTCTGACCCGCCATGTTACCTTTGTGTTTATCTCTGCATCGGTCATGATTTTCCTTAAATTTGAAAGCCAGACACTTTGCGATGTACTCCAGCTCTAGATCATAATTCATAACCCTCATATTAGAAGCTCCTTTGATAAATTCGTTGGTTTCTGCTTCCCCACCAGATGCTACTTTGTTTCTGAGTTCGTTATGAACATCGACAATTAATTTGCGAAAGTCCGCCAGGTTTTCCTCATCTATTTTTCGAGGTGGTTCATGTACACATTTGCACGCTGTATGTTCTACCCCCGCTGCCCCCGGGCATTTGTCCTCGCAATAGTTCACAGTAGACGGATCAAAAGTAGAGACAATACACAATTTTAGCAAGAAAAGTAATAATAAATACGTCATTTTTAATTTTTCACACCGACATCTTTTGCAAAATAGTATTTATCCGCTGCCTTAGCAACGTCCCTAAGTCGAGTTGATGGTCTTATAGAGGCTTGAACTTGACCAAACGATTTTTTTTTTATTTAGTAAATTTAATAATGAGGATAAATATAAATATTAATTTTGTTATATATCGCACAACAACATTGATAATAGCGTCACTGTTTTCTTGAAATTTCAAGGAAATTTGTTGAACCGTTTTTGAGATAATGGATAAAATTAATTGGTTCATACGTTATTTTTTAGACGTTCATATTGCTAAAGTACAATCACTTCCGCATTTCGTAACCAGTTTTCAACAGAGATGTTTTTGTTGTTTTTTAAGTGACGTCATCAACTTCTTGGTAGGGATAAGGACATTAATTTTTAAATACACAGTGCCATACGAGGTGAAGTCATGAATTATTTTCATAACCGACGGTTCGCATTGTGCTAATTTTTGCAAGAAAGTATTTTTCAGTGGAATAGGAATTTCCTTTTCGTGTATTTAAATTGTCTCCACGCTATTAAGCTTGTGCCTAATGATAGAATTTCACCATGCATAACATAACTTTGCAAGTGCATTTTAATGTAGGTATGTACTAAAGCCCGATTTAAAGTTAATGACACTTTCAGTTGCGGTAGACCAACACCGTAAGTTGAAAACGTACGTGACTTTTAAATTAAAGACACAAATTTTTAATTAAACTTGTTTACTTAGTGTCTCAAATTCTTCCCTCGTTTTAACATACTGCCAAATGTGAAAGATTCCTAAAATATTGATTGCCAAACTCTGGTTGAAAGAATGTAAATTTTTAAAAACGTGCCGAAGACTTAATGGTGCTGAGGTACCAAGCTATGTGCTAAATCAAATGAGAGATTTACATTTTCTGGTATTGTGTAAGATTTTAAGGATCATACTGCAATACAAAAATTTTGTTTTTCCTGATTTTTTTATATTTTGGAGGTGTTAGGTTTTATTTAGTCACTTGTGCATTTTTGAACTTTTGAAATAGTGTGTGATAAATTAAACGAAGTTAAAAATATGAAAGAATCTTGAGGACGTTTGGTTTTTTTAAGAATATGGAATGATCTTGAGGAACTCTGGTGTCTCTTTATTTTAGAGCGCAAGCTAAGGAAGTATTGTAATCGAGTCCAAAGGACTATGTCTGTCTGTCCGTCCTCTGTGCCGATTTTTATTATTTTTATCTGGAACTATGGGTCCGATTGTGTCAAATTTTGTATATAGATGGTATAACGCTAACCAGAATTTGTCTGATTATTCCCATTAGCAATGGAATTACGTCATCATCCAAATTTTACAAAAGTAATTGTTATTTAAATTTTGTAAAATACTATACTCCTCTACTTGTCGAGATTTTTGGAAAAAGATCAAAATTGTATAATAATTTTTCGATTTTTCAATTTCTCCATATTTTAGTTTTGAGATTTTTGTTTTTTGAGCTTCAATTTTTCGATTTTTTAATTTTTCCATTTTTCAAATTTTCAATTAGTGGCGTTTCTAAGTTTTCGATTTGTCGATTTTTGGAATTCTCTTGACTGTGCGATATTTAGATTTATCGATATTTTTTTTAAATTACAAATTTTTCAATTTTTTTTAATTTATCGTTTCGGCTATTTCGATTTCTCGATTTGTGGATCTTTTCACGTTTCAATTTATCTGTTTCAGTTTTTCAGTTATTTGATTTTTCGATTTTTCGGCTTTGGACTTTAGATTTTAGGACTTTCCAGTTTTTCAAGGTTTCGCTTTTTTGTTTTTTTTGATTTTAGGTTTTCCGTATTTCCGATTTTTCGACACCTCGTTTTATCCACTTTCAAAATTTTTTCGATTTTCCGATTTCGCAATTTTTCCGTTTTTTGATTTCTCAATCTCTCTATGTTTCAATTTAGGATGTTTGAATTTTTCCATTTTTCGCTTTATCAATTTTTTGTTATTTCGGAATTTTTCAATATTTCTGGTTCTTTAATTATTCGATTTAGTTTTCTGGATCTTTCAATTTTTTTATTCTCCAATTTTTCCATATTTTAAATTTTACATTTTTCGATTTCTCGACTTTTCAGTTTTTCGACTTTTCAATTTTTCGAATTTTTTGATCTTTGGTATTTTAAATTTTTTATGTTTCGAATTCTTGATCTTTGATTTTTTAACTTACAGTTTTTAGGTTTTTCAGTTTTTCTCAATTTTTCGATTTTTAAAATTTTTGATTTTCCAATTTCTAAATTTCTCAGTATTTTGATCTTTCGATTTCTCGATTTCTCAAATCTTCGATTTTTGGATTGCTGATTTTCCAGATTTTTTGATTTTTCAATTTTTCGATTTGTCGATTTTAATAAATATTAAAGTTTTCAATATTTTAATTCTTAAATTTTCGTTTGGGATATGTATTTCGACTTCTCGATTTCTCGATCTTTTCATGTTTCGATTTTTCCATGTATATTTTTTTTTCCAATTTTTCAATTATTCAATTTGTCGATTTTTCAATTTTTCGATTTTTGGATTTTCGGGTTCTTCGATGTTTCAATTTTTGACTTTTCAATTTCGATTCTTAGAATTTTAAATTTTACATATTTCGAATTTACATTTTGCCAAGTTTACCATTTTCCAATTTCTCGAATTTTCAATTTTTAGATTCTTCAATTATTCGATGATTTTTCGATTCTTCCATTTTTCAAATTTTCAATTTTTGGCATTTCTATCTTTTCAATTTGTTGATTGTTCGAGTTTTCTATTTCTTGAGATTAATCGAGTTCACGATTTTTTGACTTTTCGATGCTTCAATTTATCGATTTTTCAGTTTTTCTCAATTTTTCGATTTTTAAAATTTTTGATTTTCCAATTTCTAGATTTTTCGGTTTTTTAATCTTTCGATTTCCCAAATCTTCGATTTTTGCATTGCTGATTTTCCAGATTTTTTGATTTTTCAATTTTTCGATTTGTCGATTTTAATAAATATTAAAGTTTTCAATATTTAATTTTTAAATCTTCGTTTAGGATATGTATTTCGACTTCTCGATTTCTCGATCTTTTCATGTTTCGATTTTTCCATGTATATTTTTTTCCAATTTTTCAATTATTCGATTTGTCGATTTTTAGATTTTTGGACTTTCGGGTTTTTCGATGTTTCAATTATTGATTTTTCAATTTCGATTCTTAGAATTTGAAATTTTACATATTTCGAATTTACATTTTGCCAAATTTACCATTTTCCAATTTCTCGACATCTCAGTCTTTAATTTTGGAAAATTTTCAGAGTCTGGAATTTTCAATTTCTCGAATTTTCAGTTTCTCGAGTTTTCAGTTTTTCACTTCTTCAAGTTTTCGCTTTTTTATTTTTCTGTTTTTCAGGTTTTTGAGTTTTCAATTTTTTGATTTTTTAAATTTTCGATTTTTGTATGTTTAGGTTTTGGGATTTTTCGATATTTCGATTCTTCAATTTTCTGCTTTTTCGACTTCTGGATTTTTCGATTGTTCGATTTCTCGATTTTTTGATTTTCTAATTTTTCGATTCTTATATTTTTGGACTTTCGGGTTTTTCGATGTTTCAATTATTGATTTTTCAATTTCGATTCTTAGAATTTGAAATTTTACATATTTCGAATTTACATTTTGCCAAATTTACCATTTTCCAATTTCTCGACATCTCAATCTTTAATTCTGGAAAATTTTCAGAGTCTGGAATTTTCAATTTCTCGAATTTTCAATTTCTCGAGTTTTCAGTTTTTCAATTCTTCAAGTTTTCGCTTTTTTATTTTTCTGTTTTTCAGGTTTTTGAGTTTTTAATTTTTTGATTTTTTAAATTTTCGATTTTTGTATGTTTTAGTTTTGGAATTCTTCAATTTTCTGCTTTTTCGACTTCTGGATTTTTCGATTGTTCAATTTCTCGATTTTTTGATTTTCTAATTTTTCGATTTGTCAGTCTTTATGACTTTATAAAGTTTTCAATTTTTAATTTTTCGTTTGAGTTATTTCGTTTTCTCGATTTCTTGCTCATGTTTCGATTTTTCGAAGTTTCAAATTTTCAATTATTCGATTTGTCGATTTCAAAATTTTTCAATCTTTTGATTTGTGGATTTTCGAGTTTTTGGATGTTTCAACTTTTAAATTTTATACATTTCGAATTTACAATTTGTCGAATTTCCCATTTTCCAACATCTCAATCTTCAATTTTGGGAAATTTCCATCTTTTTGGCTCTTTCAATTTTTAAAATTTTCAATTTTTCAAATTTTCAATTTTTGGCGCTTCTAAATTTTCGATTTGTTGATTAATCGATTTCCCGATTCTTCGACTTTTCGATGTTTCGATTTCTCGATTTTTCGACTTCTGGATTTTTCGATTGTTCAATTTCTCGATTTTTTGATTTTCTAATTTTTCGATTCTTAGATTTTTGGACTTTCGGGTTTTTCGATGTTTCAATTATTGATTTTTCAATTTCGATTCTTAGAAATTGAAATTTTACATATTTCGAATTTACATTTCGCCAAATTTACCATTTTCCAATTTCTCGACATCTCAGTCTTTAATTTTGGAAAATTTTCAGGGTCTAGAATTTTCAATTTCTCGAATTTTCAATTTCTCGAGTTTTTAGTTTTTCAATTCTTCAAGTTGTCGCTTTTTTATTTTTCTGTTTATCAGGTTTTTGAGTTTTTAATTTTTTGATTTTTTAAATTTTCGATTTTTGTATGTTTTAGTTTTGGGATTCTTCAATTTTCTGCTTTTTCGACTTCTGGGTTTCTCGATTTTTTGATTTTCTAATTTTTCGATTTGTCAGTCTTTATGACTTTATAAAGTTTTCAGTTTTTAATTTTTCGTTTGAGCTATTTCGTTTTCTCGATTTCTTGCTTATGTTTCGATTTTTCGAAGTTTCAATTTTTCAATTATTCGATTTGTCGATTTCAAAATTTTTCAATCTTTTGATTTGTGGATTTTCGAGTTTTTGGATGTTTCAACTTTTAAATTCTATACATTTCGAATTTACAATTTGTCGAATTTCCCATTTTCCGACATCTCAATCTTCAATTTTGGGAAATTTCCATTTTTTTGGCTCTTTCAATTTTTCAAATTTTCAATTTTTCAAATTTTCAATTTTTGGCGCTTCTAAATTTTCGATTTGTTGATTTTTCGAATTCTCGATTTCTTGATTAATCGATTTCCCGATTCTTCGACTTTTCGATGTTTCGATTTCTCGATTTTTCGACTTCTGGATTTTTCGATTGTTCACTTTCTCGATTTTAGATTTTTAGATTTTTGGACTTTCGGGTTTTTCGATGTTTCAATTATTGATTTTTCAATTTCGATTCTTAGAATTTGAAATTTTACATATTTCGAATTTACATTTTGCCAAATTTACCATTTTCCAATTTCTCGACATCTCAGTCTTTAACTTTGAAATTTTATACATTTCGAATTTACAATTTGTCGAATTTCCCATTTTTCGACATCTCAATCTTCAATTTTGGGAAATTTCCATTTTTTTGGCTCTTTCAATTTTTCAAATTTTCAATTTTTGACGCTTCTAAATTTTCGATTTTTGGCGATTCTAAATTTTCGATTTGTTGATTTTTCGAATTCTCGATTTCTTGATTAATCGATTTCCCGATTCTTCGACTTTTCGATGTTTCGATTTCTCGATTTTTCGACTTCTGGATTTTTCGATTGTTTAGTTTCTCGATTTTTTGATTTTCTAATTTTTCGATTCTTAGATTTTTGGACTTTCGGGTTTTTCGATGTTTCAATTATTGATTTTTCAATTTCGATTTTTAGAATTTGAAATTTTACATATTTCGAATTTACATTTTGCCAAATTTACCATTTTCCAATTTCTCGACATCTCAGTCTTTAATTTTGGAAAATTTTCAGAGTCTGGAATTTTCAATTTCTCGAATTTTCAATTTCTCGAGTTTTCAGTATTTCAATTCTTCAAGTTGTCGCTTTTTTATTTTTCTGTTTTTCAGGTTTTTGAGTTTTTAATTTTTTGATTTTTTAAATTTTCGATTTTTGTATGTTTTAGTTTTGGAATTCTTCAATTTTCTGCTTTTTCGATTTCTGGATTTTTCGATTGTTCAATTTCTCGATTTTTTGATTTTCTAATTTTTCGATTTGTCAATCTTTATGACTTTATAAAGTTTTCAATTTTTAATTTTTCGTTTGAGCTATTTCGTTTTCTCGATTTCTTTCTCATGTTTCGATTTTTCGAAGTTTCAATTTTTCAATTATTCGATTTGTCGATTTCAAAATTTTTCAACTTTTGATTTGTGGATTTTAGAGTTTTTGGATGTTTCAACTTTTAAATTTTATACATTTCGAATTTACAATTTATCGAATTTCCCACTTTCCGACATCTCAATCTTCAATTTTGGGAAATTTCCATTTTTTTGGCTCTTTCAATCTTTCAAATTTTCAATTTTTCAAATTTTCAATTTTTGGCGCTTCTAAATTTTCGATTTGTTGATTTTTCGAATTCTCGATTTCTTGATTAATCGATTTCCCGATTCTTCGACTTTTCGATGTTTCGATTTCTCGATTTTTCGACTTCTGGATTTTTCGATTGTTCACTTTCTCGATTTTTTGATTTTATAATTTTTCGATTCTTAGATTTTTGGACTTTCGGGTTTTTCGATGTTTCAATTATTGATTTTTCAATTTCGATTCTTAGAATTTGAAATTTTACATATTTCGAATTTACATTTTGCCAAATTTACCATTTTCCAATTTCTCGACATCTCAGTCTTTAACTTTGAAATTTTATACATTTCGAATTCACAATTTGTCGAATTTCCCATTTTTCGACATCTCAGTCTTCAATTTTGGGAAATTTCCATTTTTTTGGCTCTTTCAATTTTTCAAATTTTCAATTTTTGGCGCTTCTAAATTTTCGATTTGTTGATTTTTCGAATTCTCGATTTCTTGATTAATCGATTTCCCGATTCTTCGACTTTTCGATGTTTCGATTTCTCGATTTTTCAGTTTTTCAATTCTTCAAGTTTTCGCTTTTTTATTTTTCTGTTTTTCAGGTTTTTGAGTTTTCAATTTTTTGATTTTTTAAATTTTCGATTGTTGTATGTTTTAGTTCTGGGATTTTTCGATATTTCGATTCTACAATTTTCTACTTTTTCGACTTCTGGATTTTTCGATTGTTCAAATTCTCGATTTTTTGATTTTTTATTTTTCGATTTGTCAGTCTTTATGAGTTTATAAAGTTTTCAATTTTTAATTTTTCGTTTGGGCTATTTCTATTTCTCGATTTCTTGATCATGTTTCGATTTTTCGAAGTTTCAATTTTCATTTTTTCAATTTCAATTTTTCGATGTCTCGTTTTCTGATTTTCAACTTTTAAATTTTATACATTTCGAATTTACAATTTGTCGAATTTCCCATTTTCCGACATCTCTGTCTTCAATTTTGGGAAATTTTCAGTTTTTAGATTTTTCAAATTTTCAATTTTTGGCGATTCTAAATTTTCGATTTGTTGATTTTTCGAATTCTCGATTTCTTGATTAATCGATTTCCCGATTCTTCGACTTTTCGATGTTTCGATTTTTCAGATTTTCAATCCTTCAATTTTCCGCCTTTTTATTTTTCTCTAATTTTAGGTTTATTTTAAATTTAGTTCAAGATTACTGGGACGATTCTAAAACATCCATCACAATAATCTGTCTAGTCATCCCCTCGTAAAAGAATAATGACGTCAAAATATGGATGAAATTGCACATATTTCATTGTTTCGTGCCTTGACGTGTATAATGGGTTGCATAACTAACGAAAATAATTCTCACGATGGCGACGTTTGGTGGCAACACTGCGCACTGCGGTAATGTTACTAAACACCTGTCACCTGTCACTTTGTGAGTGTGATTGCCACTTAACCTCACACACACAAATTTAAATCCGTTAAAATGCCGTGAATTGTTATTCATTTTACTTCCGTGTTTAAAACAACATCAAAATGACAAACAAACTAAACCGCTACGAAAAAATCGAATTCCTCGGCGAGGGTCAGTTTGCCACCGTCTACAAAGCCCGAGACGTCGAAAACGACAACATCGTCGCCGTCAAGAAAATCAAAATGGGCAGCCGCCAAGAAGCACAAGACGGCATCAACCGAACAGCCCTCCGAGAAATCAAACTACTGCAAGAACTCCACCACAGAAACGTCATCGGTCTTTTGGACGTCTTCGGACACATGTCCAACGTGTCTCTAGTTTTCGACTTCATGGACACCGATTTGGAGGTTATAATCAAAGACAACACGATCATTCTAACCACGGCAAACATTAAATCGTACATGATCCAAACTCTGCAAGGTCTGGACTATTTACACAGAAACTGGGTGTTGCACCGCGATTTAAAACCCAACAATCTTCTGGTTAACTCTAGTGGAGTGCTCAAAGTGGGTGATTTTGGTTTGGCCAAGCTTTATGGGTCCCCGAATCGGATTAATACCCATCAGGTGGTGACGCGGTGGTACCGATCACCGGAACTCCTGTTTGGGGCTAAATTGTACAGTACTGGAGTGGATATGTGGGCTGTCGGGTGTATTTTAGCCGAATTGTTGTTACGTGTCCCGCTTTTCCCCGGAGAGTCGGATTTAGACCAACTGACGAAGATTTTTGGCGTTTTTGGTAACCCGACGGAGGAGAATTGGCCTGGGTTGAAAAGTCTGACTGACTATATTGAATTTAAACCGTTTACGCCGATTCCGTTGAAAAACATTTTTACTGCCGCTGGCGACGACCTGCTTGATGTTATAGGAAGTCTTTTAGTACTAAATCCATTGAAACGAATGGAGTGTGCCGAGTGTTTAAGTATGCCGTTTTTTAGCAACAAACCGGCGCCTACTGTGGGCTCAAAATTACCGCTGCCACAGAATATTAGAAAAACTGAAACCGAACGACCCACGTTGAAGAGGAAGCTGCTCGACGCCGCCGACGGAGGGTCTTTATCAAAACGCTTATTTTTTTAAATTTATAGGGAACTTTGTACATACAATTGAACTCGATTTTGGTTATTTCTCGCAACAAAAAACATTTTTTGTGTTAAATAGGGTAATAAAATAATTTGAAAGTCGTAAAAATCGCATTTTATTATTCGCATCAATAATCAAAGTTATATTCAAAATACGACGAATCGAAATTGTGAACACGAACGTACCCATCTTCTCCGCCCGAACTGTAGCTCTTTCCGTCTGGATGAAACGCAACGCTGTTGATAGGTCCGAAATGTCCTTTGACTCGTCCAAATTCCTCCTCGAATACCATGTGGAAAAATCTTGAGTCGAACTTACCGACTCTTGCAGACGTGGTGGTTACGTCCATGGCGTCTTGGCCGCCACCCACCACCACGTGCTCGAAAATGGGGCTAATAGCGGCTGAATTGACCGGTCTTTCGGTTTTATAAGTTTTCAATAGCATGAGATCAGCGGCGTCGAAAAGTTTAGCTGTGTGGTCTTTGGAGGCGGTCACAAACATCGTCCCGTCCTTGTTCCACTGCATGTCGTTTATTAAATTTTCGTGTTCGTGTATGGAGCTCAACTCCTTCCCTGTCTGGGTGTGTACAAAAAAATTAATCAGTTAATTGGATTAAAATGGAATTATTTACCTTCAGATCCCACTTAATCAAGTCGCCATTTTCATGTCCTGTGATGATAGTTTCATCCAGATTATCCCACAGGATGGACGCCACTCTTGCGCCTTTAATTGGTATCCGTAAAATGGGGGTGGCTTGCGCTAGACTCTCATCCACGTTTCGCACGTCAATAATGAAAATTTCGCACTGGTGACGCATAGCTTTATCCGTGGTGTAAACAGCCATGTTACCAGAATAGCTAAACAAACACGTCCTAACGGACGAGTTTGTTGAAATATTCCCGATTTCTTTCCCCGTTTCGCAATCCCATACTTTGAGGGTGTTATCACCAGCCCCTGATAAAAATCGACTTGTGGTCCAATCCACATCAATGCACCACACTGCACCTTGATGACCATTGAAAGTCCCCAATCTTTCCCCATTTAGCGAATACCAAACGTTGGGTTTGTTGTCTTTGGACGACGAAAACAGAAGATCGCCCTCTCGGTTGTATTTTATCTGGGTGATGGCACGTTCGTGCCCATGGAGCATGAGAGGCTTCTACAAGGTGAAAAAATTTGAGGTTAGATGAAATTAAACAATATGGTGTTACAAATATTACAAAAAATGTACAATTTTAGCGTGTTTTGTTCGCGTTTTGTCTAAATTGGATTGTTACTTACCATAATAACGTAAACTGTATATTTGTTATCTACTTAACTAACTTTCCACGCCTCTGAAATTTATTTGAGGTTAGGTGACGCGTTCTGTCACGAATGACGTTCTCGCAAGAGTGAGCCAATCACGCGGGGTGGTAGCTGCACGTGACTTAATTTTCTAAAATGGGATTGGCATAGGCGGCTCGTTCGTCCGGGCATTGATTAATAGTATATTAAAGAACGAGTTTCATAAGGCAAATATTGAGGCACGAATCCAATGTGACGGGCTTGAGAGATTTTCAAAATTAACTTTTGTTAATTTATTATATATAAAACTGTAAAACTCTTGTCGTGGACCTTGTGCCCGACATATAGTGAAAATATTATTTATTTGTTCGTAGGCTGGTTCGTGATGATGGTAACACATTCTAATGACTGGACAAAGGGACTACTTCAAGTATATGCATTTTGCTTAAATGAATAATTATATTTAATTTAGAAATGACTATGTACAAAAGAGATTTAGTCATATGAGAATAATTTGGTATAACAATAAATTGTAGTGTAGTTTAATATGCAAATATAATTATCAGAAAATGAACTTCAGTATTAAAACATTTTTAAATAAATTCAAGAAAACCTTATAAATTTGAAACTAAATCTTTGAAAGCATAATAAAACAAACATTTTAAAAAATCTAAAACAAAAATATAACAAAACTCAAAATTGGTACCATATCTCAAAATTTGGTCACATAACTCAAAATTTGGTAACAACTCAAACATTTGGTAAGGAACATTATAGTAGTTGCGTGGTCAGCGTTCATCAAACAATATAACTGTTTAACTAATAATTTCAATGCAAATTAATCTTTAAAATAGATATAAATTTCAAAACGTTATCCAATCGAGAATACAAAGGGCGATTTATCATCAAAATTGAATTGAACTTTAAAAATATTAATAAAACCAAAACTTTGAACTTTTTATGAAATCGTGCACATTTTTGGAGATATTAACACTTACCCCCCCTTGTGTCACAACACAAACACACACTAAACAAGCAACTGGCTAGAGGACTCTGGTCTTTTTTGAATCTTTCGATCTTTTATAAGGTCTCAAGAATTTTCTCCCTTTCAAATCGTTTCAGATTCTTCCAGATCCTTTCAAATTTTTCCACATTGGTTCAGACTCCTGAAAACTGGTTAAGATTCCTCCAGATTGTTTCATTTTCTTTACAACTTTTCCTTATTTTGAATCGAAATCCTCAAGATCCTTTAACATTTTTCAGTTCTGTTCAGATTGTTTGAGATCCTTACAAATCCTTTCAAATCCCTGCAGACTGTTCCAGATTATTCCAGTCTTTTTTAGATTCATCTAGATTCTCACAAGTTCCCTCAGATTCGTTTCAATTCTTTTCGAATCTCCCAATTTCTTTCAGATTCCCTCAGATTCCTTCAGATTCTCTCAGATTCGTTCAAATTCCTCCAGATTCATCAGATGCTTTCAGATTCTTTCATTTTCTTTCTGATTCTATCTTTCACATTCTTTCGATTTTTTTTATAGTTTTCGATGCTTTGGGACTGTTTCAGATTCTTTCAAAGACACCGTCAGGAATCCTCAAGATTCTTTCAAGTTTTTCAATTCTATTCAGGTCATTTCAGATACTTACAGATCCTTTCAGATCCCTGCAGATTCTTCAAAATTCTTCCAAATCCTTCCAGTTTTTTTTTTTTTTTTTAGATTCGCTCACAAGTTCTCAAGAATTTTTCATCTTTCAAATCGTTTCAGATTTTTCCAGACCCTTTCAAATTTTTCCACATTGGTTCATATTCCTGCAAACTGGTTAAGATTCCTCCAGATTCTTTCATTTTCTTTACAACTTTTCCTTATTTTGAATCGAAATCCTCAAGATTCTTTAATATTTTTCAGTTCTGTTCAGATTGTTTGAGATCCTTACAAATTCTTTCAGATCCCTGCAGACTGTTCCAGATTCTTCCAGTCTTTTTTAGATTCTTCTAGATTCTCACAAGTTCCCTCAGATTCGTTCCAATTCTTTCCAGATTTCAAAATTTCTCTCAGATTCCCTCAGATTCCTTCAGATTCTCTCAGATTCCCTCAAATTCCTCCAGATTCATCAGATGCTTTCAGATTCTTTCACTTTCTTTCTGATTTTCTCTTTCACATTCTTTCGATTTTTTTTAGACTTTTCGATGCTTTGGGACTGTTTCAGATTCTTTCAAAGACACCGTCTCAAGATTCTTTCAAGTTTTTCAATTCTATTCAGGTCATTTGAGATACTTACAGATCCTTTCAGATCACTACAGATTCTTCAAAATTCTTCCAAATCCTTCCAGTTTTTTTTTTAATTCGTTCACAAGTTCTCAAGAATTTTTCACCTTTCAAATCGTTTCAGATTCTTTCAGATCCTTTTAAATTTTTCCACATTGGTTCAGATTCCTGCAGACTGGTTAAGATTCCTCGAACTTCTTTCATTTTCTCTACGACTTGTCCTTATTTTGAATCGAAATCCTCAAGATTCTTTAAAATTTTTCAGTTCTGTTCAGATTGTTTGAGATCCTTACAAATCCTTTCAGATCCCTGCAGACTGTTCCAGATTCTTCCAGTCTTTTTTAGATTCTTCTAGATTCTCACAAGTTCCCTCAGATTCGTTCCAATTCTTTCCGAATCTCCCAATTTCTCTCAGATTCCCTCAAATTCCTCCAGATTCATCAGATGTTCTCAGATTCTTTCATCTTCTTTCTGATTCTCTCTTTCACATTCTTTCGATTTTTTTATACTTTTCGATGCCATGGGACTGTTTCAGATTCTTTCAAAGACACCGTCAGGAATCCTCAAGATTCTTTCAAGTTTTTCAATTCTATTAAGGTCATTTCAGATACTTACAGATCCTTTCAGATCCCTGCAGATTCTTCAAAATTCTTACAAATCCTTCCAGTTTTTTTTTTTTTTTTAGATTCGCTCACAAGTTCTCAAGAATTTTTCACCTTTCAAATCGTTTCAGATTTTTCCAGATCCTTTCAAAGTTTTCCACACTGGTTCAGATTCCTGCAAACTGGTTAAGATTCCTCCAGATTCTTTCATTTTCTTTACGACTTTTCCTTATTTTGAATCGAAATGCTCAAGATTCTTTAACATTTTTCAGTTCTGTTCAGATTGTTTGAGATCCTTACAAATCCTTTCAGATCCCTACAGACTGTTCCAGATTCTTCCAGTCTTTTTTAGATTCTTCTAGATTCTCACAAGTTCCCTCAGATTCGTTCCAATTCTTTCCGAATCTACCAATTTCTCTCTGATTCCCTCAAATTCCTCCAGATTCATCACATGCTTTCAGATTCTTTCATTTTCTTTCTGATTCTCTCTTTCACATTCTTTCGATTTTTTTATAGTTTTCGATGCTTTGGGACTGTTTCAGAGTCTTTCAAAGACACTGTCAGGAATCCTCAAGATTCTTTCAAGTTTTTCAATTCTATTCAGGTAATTTCAGATACTTACAGATCCTTTTAGATCCCTCAGATTCTTCAAAATTCTTCCAAATTCTTCCAGTTTTTTTTTTAGATTCGCTCACAAGCTCTCAAGAATTTTCCCCCTTTCAAATCGTTTCAGATTCTCCCAGATTGTTTCATTTTCTTTACAACTTTTCCTTATTTTGAATCGAAATCCTCAAGATTCTTTAAAATTTTTCAGTTCTGTTCAGATTGTCTGAGATCCTTACAAATCCTTTCAGATCCCTACAGACTGTTCCAGATTCTTCCAGTCTTTTTTAGATTCTTCTAGATTCTCACATGTTCTCTCAGATTCGTTCCAATTCTTTCCGAAACTCCCAATTTCTCTCAGATTCCCTCAAATTCCTGCAGATTCCTCAGATGCTTTCAGATTCTTTCATTTTCTTTCTGATTCTCTCTTTCACATTCTTTCGATTTTTTTATACTTTTCGATGCCATGGGACTGTTTCAGATTCTTTCAAAGACACCGTCAGGAATCCTCAAGATTCTTTCGAGTTTTTCAATTCTACTTATTCAGGTCATTTCAAATACTTCAGATCCTTTCAGATCCCTGCAGATTCTTCAAAATTCTGACAAATCCTTCCAGTTTTTTTTTTTAGATTCGTTCACAAGTTCTCAAGAATTTTTCACCTTTCAAATCGTTTCAGATTTTTCCAGATCCTTTAAAATTTTTCCACATTGATTCAGATTCCTGCAAAATGGTTAAGATTCGTCCAGATTCTTTCATTTTCTTTACGACTTTTCCTTATTTTGAATCGAAATGCTCAAGATTCTTCTCAACATTTTTCAGTTCTGTTCAGATTGTTTGAGATCCTTACAAATCCTTTCAGATCCCTGTAGACTGTTCCAGATTCTTCCAGTCTTTTTTAGATTCTTCTAGATTCTCACAAGTTCCCTCGATTCGTTCCAATTCTTTCCGAATCTACCAATTTCTCTCTGATTCCCTCAGATTCCTTCAGATTTACTCAGATTCCCTCAAATTCCTCCAGATTCATCACATGCTTTCAGATTCTTTCATTTTCTTTCTGATTCTCTCTTTCACATTCTTTCGATTTTTTTATAGTTTTCGATGCTTTGGGACTGATTCAGAGTCTTTCAAAGACACTGTCAGGAATCCTCAAGATTCTTTCAAGTTTTTCAATTCTATTCAGGTAATTTCAGATACTTACAGATCCTTTTAGATCCCTCAGATTCTTCAAAATTCTTCCAAATTCTTCCAGTTTTTTTTTTAGATTCGCTCACAAGCTCTCAAGAATTTTCCCCCTTTCAAATCGTTTCAGATTCTTCCAGATCCTTTCAAATTTTTCCACATTGGTTCAGATTCCTGAAAACTGGTTAAGATTCCTCCAGATTGTTTCATTTTCTTTACAACTTTTCCTTATTTTGAATCGAAATCCTCAAGATTCTATAAAATTTTTCAGTTCTGTTCAGATTGTTTGAGATCCTTACAAATCCTTTCAGATCCCTGCAGACTGTTCCAGATTCTTCCAGTCTTTTTTAGATTCTTCTAGATTCTCACATGTTCTCTCAGATTCGTTCCAATTCTTTCCGAATCTCCCAATTTCTCTCAGATTCCCTCAAATTCCTCCAGATTCA